TTTAATTTGTTGTTATATACGTATACATATTTTGTATCCGGTTAAAACTTAATGTGTGTGTTTTTTGTATTGTCGTATATTTGTTGTAACAGATAAATTAAATACTACTCCTGAGGATGCTAAAAAAGTTTCGGCGAAACGGCGTGTAAAAAGTGGAATAAAGTAGTTTTATTCGCACGCAAACTCAAAAAATCGGACTAGCCTACAAACATAAAATAACATAACAACTTTTATTGAAAATTACATCAGAATTGCTAAAATATGTCTATATTTCTGTTAAGGAACAAAACTTTATCAACGATTTTTAACTTCAATATAATTTAATTTATTTGGCCTGCTTTTATAAATGTCCTTTCTGACATCCGGCTTTTACTCTTACAGAATAATGTATGTATGAGTGAAAACTATCGATAGTGCTTACAAAACCAACAATATTTTCGATAGTCAAAAACCATCGATATTATCGATAGTGCCATCGATAGTTTCCCAGCTCTACCGCAAAGGTTACAGTTGAAGAGGCAATCAGGGTGATTTTTGCCGTGGTTTTTGAAAAGCTTGTGCACTGTTGTTGCAGTAAAGGGTAGGATTTTGATTGTAAATTTTGTGAGATTTTTATACCCGAACGCACTTTTGCACAAGGGTATTATAACTTTGTTCACATAACGGTTGTTTGTAACAGGCAAAACGAATCGAGATAGATATAGACAAATGTGTACATAAATGATCAGAATGAAAAGAGAAATCGATTAAGCGGTGACTGTCTGTCCGTCCGTCCGTCCATCCGTCGGTGCACACGATAACTCGAGTAAAAATTGAGATATCTTAACGAAACTTGGTATGTATACTTTTTTCGGGCGTAGGACGGATGGTATTAAAAATGGGCAAAATCGGACAATAACTACGCCTACCTCCCATATAACGGTAATTTTCAGAAATACGAAAACTGTAATATTTTAGTAACTACTGAAGATTATTTACTCAAAATTGATATTTACAATAAGTTTTAGACGAAAAATAAGAATATTATAAATTTTTGGAAAATGGGCGTAGCCACGCCCACTTATGGTTACATGTGTATATCTTCGTAACCGCTGCACCAATTTCTTCCAAACTTGGCACAGTTATTGGCATTGGTACAGCATACCAAATGGCAAAATTTTTAACATCGGACAATAACCACGCCCACATCCCATATAACGGTAATTTGGAGAAATACGAAATCTTCGATAAATCAGTAAATATTAAAGATAATTTATTCAAAATTTATGCTAGCAACAATTCTTTACCAAGATCTACGTTTATGATGAAATTTTTGAAAATGGGCGTGGCACCGCCCAGTTATGATCACATATATGTATCTCGGTAACCGTTCCACCAGTTTGTGGTGTGGTTATTGTGCTTGCCACATAGAAGCAAACCGTTGAAAATTGGTGAAATCGGACTAAAATTACGGCCGCTTTTCATATAACGGTAAATTTCAGAAATGCTTGAAACTGCAATATTTCGAAATTTAAGGACGCTAATTTACTCAAAAGTGATACACCCGGCTTACCATCCAGCGGTAGGTTTCGGAAAGGTGAAAACACATATATTTAATACTTGCTTGAACTTAGACTTTCTTACTTGTTTTATGTAACTTTTATTAAAAATGTTAAAATATAGCTACCAAAAATTAATAATAATTTACCTCATTAATTTTTCTCTTTTTAACCGATTTAGGCTAAGGAGGAGGTTATCAATTCATCGGATTTTTTTTATGTATGTTTCCGCATAAGTTTGGAGCACATTAACCCTCTAGTAGGCAGAACCGCCGCCAGATGGTCGTTAACTAAACACCTTTTTAGTGCACCCATAATAATTTTTTTCTATATTCGTAAGGCACGATCTTTAGACAAGAATCGTACCCTTACGGTGAAGTAAATTTTAATCCGTTATGTCTATCCGTTTTATTTTAATCGGCAGTTGAATTACAGATTTTGAAAATACGCTTAAGATGAACTATTTCTTGCTATTTAGTAATTTCGTAATTAAAGAAACTTTTTCTTTTGAAAAATTTTTTGATATAAAAAAATTCGGTGGATTTCACTGTTAAAAGCACCGTATTTTAATATAAGTTTTATAATTATGTCACCATTCGAAATGGAGAAAATTGCTTTCGAACACAGACCGTCTACAGACCGGCTTGCCGACATATAAAACCCCAGTTTTGCATTTTTGACCGTCTGCAGACGGCATCGCCGGTTCGTAGGTCAACATTGTGTAAGAGAAAGCTGAAAATATGTGCAAGTATATCGGCAAGCCCGTCTCCAGACGGTCTTTGTTTTTCTCCCCTGTAGGAAAAAGTTACTGTCACAAATCGAAATGGACATCAGTGTTGGATTTCTCGTGCTAAAATCACCCATTCCAGAATTTTTCAACTCAAAAAAAATTGGCTTACTAGGGGGTTAACCGAATTCGAAAATTCTTTTTGTGGTGCCTCAGGGGGGGTCCCATACTAATTTTTTTTTGATCCGATCATTGGATCATAAAGAAATTAACGGTACTTTTAAGTTTTTATATGGAAATTGAAGTCGGTTGTATTTTTTGCATAAAATTATTTGTTATTGTAACAACTGAGTTATACCGAGCCCTACAAAGAAATTTATATTGCATAAAGTTTATTATGAACTTATTGAAGAGTTAAAATACAAATTTGTTAGTTACGTTAATTGCATGCAAATTTTAAAATGCGACTTCGTCTTTACACCAAAATCGTAATTTTTTCATTTAACCGACTTCAAAAAAAGGAGGAGGTATCTATTCGTCGGAATAATTTTTTATGTACATATGTTACTGCATAACTGATTTCGATAATTCTTTTTTTTTTTTTTAAGGAAAGGTGGTACCTCAGAGGTGGCCCCATCCTAATGTGGTTTAGATCCGGTTATTGGATAATGAAGAAATTAACGGTAATCTTAAAGTTTCACCTGAGAATTGAAGTCGGTTTTGTTCTTTGTTAGAAAATTACTTGTTAATTTAACTATAGTCTTCGAGTGTCATCTGCAAATCGATAAATTGTTGTTGTGATGATTTCATTTTTGTTTTTTCTATAAAACCTCTATGAATGCTAAGCATTCCTTATGCCAAACTCAAGTACAAAGTATTACTTTATTGCATAAATTTTTTGAATTGGAAATTGACTATGAATTCATAGAAAGAAACTTACAATGAAACTTTGAATTTTGGGGGGGGGGGGGGAGGGGAGGGGTTGCGGCACCCTTAGCCCGTACCTGCGTACGCCCATGCTTTCTTACGTTTATTTTTGTTTTAATCGTCTCAAATTCGTCTATTAACCTTTATCGCTCTCAAAACGCGGCAGTCTGCGATTTCCACACGACGAAAAGAAGAACTGTGGATGTCCGAATAAGTCAATGAATCGAAATCGCATAAGTGGGTGGCTCTTAATTTAAAACTATGGACGGCATTGTTGTAATTTTTGTCGGTACAGATTCGCACCGACAGAATCGCACAGGTGTGATCATGATACAAAAAAGAAGGTAGTTTCAATAAACAACCTTTGACGGATAATACAATTTTTTGAAGTTTCACAAATTGTGAGTATTATCAACGGCCTTGCC